CTGGAGAAGGATGTCATGCTTGGTAGGGTGGAGGGTCGATGAAAGAGGGGGAGGCCTTCAATGAGATGGATTGATACAGTGGCTGTGATGATGGGGTCAAGTATAGCAGGGATTGTGGGGCTGGGGTGGGATCGGGCAGTGTTTCGTTCTGCTGTGCATGGGGTCGCTATGGGTCGGAAACAACTCGACGGCACTTAACAACAACAACAACAACCTATGCTCACCCTGCCAAGTATGTATTAGACCTCATCTCTACACAGTCCTGCATAACCAGTCTTCTTCCTTTCTCCCAAGGCTCTTATAGGCAGGACTTTGAACGGGTTCATTTCCTTGCTGAAAATTTGCATTTCTACCCCAGATATACTGAATCAGAATCTACATTTTAATGATAACATAATTTAACATAAGAATCACTTTTGGATCTAGAAGAATCACCCGGGGATCTTGTTAAAATGAGGAATTGATCCCAGACCTTTTATTTAAAACTCATTACATTTGCCTAACAAGGTGCCCTGGGACTGATTGGCTGCTAACCCAAAGACTGATAGTTCAAACCCACTCAGTGGCTCTGAGGGAGAAAAACCTGGCAACCTGCTCCTATATAGATTATAGCCCCAAAAGCCTATGGGGGCAGTCCCACTCTATCACATGGGGTAACTATGAGTAGGAATTGACTTAACGGCACTCAACAACAACACATGGAAAAAAGTCCATGGACTTTCCAGTTTCATGTGGAAGATATGAGTGACTATCCCCAAGATCCCCCAGAAATGATAGAGATGGGAAAAGAGGAGGAATCTGGAGGCAGCCTGTGGTTGGCAATTTGAGTTCATCTATTGGCATCTCAAAGGAGCTCTGGTGGCATAGTGCCTAAGGCATTTGACTGCTAACCAGAAGGTTGGTGGTTCAAACCCACCAGTCACTCCATGGAAGGAAGACTGGGCAATCTACTTCTGTAAAGATTTACTGCCTCAGAAACCCAAAGGGGGTCTCTATGAGTTGAAATCTACTTGATGGCAGTGAGGTTTTTTTTTTTTTTTTTTTTCCTTTTCTTTTAGAAAGGGATCTCAAGAGAAAGCCCTGGTGATCTACTTCCAGAAAATTAGCCACTGAAAATCCTAGGCAGCTCAGTTCTACTCTGATACACATGAGGTCACCATGAGCCAATATCAACTCAATGGCAACTGGATTTAGCACCCTCATCCTTCACTGTCATTTCAAAGTGTCTAAGGAACTCTGGGGGTGTAGTGGTTAAAGTGCTTGACTGCTAGCTAAAAGGTCAGCAGTTCCAACCAACCAGGCACTCTGTGGAACAAAGATGAGGCAGTCTGCTTCCACAAAGATCTATAGCCTTGGACATTCTATGAGGTAGTTCTATTCTGTTCTATAGGAGTGCTACCAGTTGGAATCAACTTGATGGAGTGGGTTTGGTTTGGTTCAAAGTGTCCGCCTTTCCCAAGTAGATTGTAAGCACAATTGAGGCAGAAACCAAGATTCCTGCTTCTTTGTGTGGCCCACACAAGGAGAGTTTGGCACACATGGTAAGTGCTTAGTAAATGCTTTTTCTGTCTAGTCACGAGCTTATGGAGAAACTTTTCCACTCCAGTATTGGTAATTGATACATGTGGTCAGGAGAAACACAAGTATCTCAGCTATTCATGTTACAACCTCATTACCTCAACTGAATGCTCAAATAGAACAGTTGACAATAAGAGACACCTGTTTATGGAAGTAAAATTGTTTTGTCAGATTATGTGTAAATGATTGTTCTGAACTCTTTAGATCCTCTGGTCATTACACACTAAGGAAGGCATTTGTTTCCTGATCTGGGCCCTCAGTTTTTCTCAGGCTTTTCATGAAATAAGATAGAGAACCAAAGGACCAGCTCTGCTCTCAACTCCTCTTAGCAGCCCCAAGAAGACAAGCTGGTGGACAAGAGCATTACGACTGCTCTCTGAGAGCCAAGTTTCACCCCTGAATGATGGCACTATCGTCGCTGACATTGAACTCTATCAGGCACTGCCCTCTAAGGGGCCCCCTACGTCTTCTCACTGACCATCACTTAATTAAGTCGATTGCTGTAGTGAAGCTAACTTGAAAATGATTCTTCTACTAAAACTTCAGTAAAAGTGGTTTTGATTGGCAAATGGGTCTTTATTAAATTGCTTTTAAGGATCTCTTAGGCAAATATGTTGTTGTTGAGTGCCATTGAGTCAACTCTTACTCATAGTTACCCCATGTGACAGAGTGGGATTGCCCCCATAGGCTTTTGGGGGCTATAATCTTTATAGGAGCAGGTTGCCAGGTTTTTCTCCGTCAGAGCCACTGAGTGGGTTTGAACTGCCAGTCTTTAGGTTAGCAGCCAAGTACTCCCAGAGCTCCTTGTTAGGCAAATGTAATGAGTTTTAAATAAGAAGTGTGGGATCAGTTTCTTAGTGTCACTATTCAATCAGTACATTTTCAGAGGGGGGTTGCTTTTTAGGTTTTTTTGCGGAGGAGTTGTGATGCTGGGTTTTCTTTCTTCCATCTGTGGTTTATTATCTAAATTTCTTTTTCTATTGTAGGACCACCTGGCCCACCAGGTAAGTGCCCATGGACTTTCCAGTTTCATGTGGAAGATATGAGTGACTATCCCCAAGATCCCCCAAAATAATAAATAGAGATGGGAAAGAGGAGGAATCTGGAGGCAGCCCTGACTATGTCTCCCCCACTCCTTCTCTCTGCCTCAATCACAAGGTCTCCCACCCCCACCCACTCCAAGAACCTACATCCCCACCCCCATGACCTATCACTGCTGGGCTTGCACTGTGGGTAGTAGACACAAAGGTGGAGAAGAAAGGGAAGAAGCAAGGGGATATGTAAAAAGCATATGGTGCCAGCAAATCACACTAACTTCAGTAACCAGTTTGAAAATGTCCCTGTTTTGTGTTTTGACACAGGACCTCCAGGAGTTGATGGCATACCAGGACATAATGGATCAGATGGACAGCCTGGTCCCCAGGGCCCAAAAGGCGAAAAAGGAACACATGGAAAAAGAGGAAAAATGGGTATTTTGGCAGCTCTTCTAATTTCCTTGTTGCTTGTCTCCATGATTGTGTTTTTGATGGGGTGAAGCTATGGACAGTGGGTTTAATGCATTTCTCTGCATGGAATGCTGCTTTATCTCTTGTGTGGAAGACACTAGGCCATGGGCATTCTTTTTTATTTTTTTTTTTATTTTGGTCAAAGTATACAGAGCCAAAGATACATCATTTCAACAATTTCTAAATGTACAGTTCAGACATTGGTTACATTCTTCAAATTGTACTACCATTCTCTCTACCCTTTTCCACATTATTCTACTACCATTATCTTAAAGTCACTGCCCTGTAAGCTTTCCAACCAACCTTTGTAGCTGCCATTGTCAATTTGTTCTTACATAGATAATTCTTCAAAAGAGCACAATGTTCATAGTAGATGTACTTTATGAATTGAAATAAGCTACTTTTTGGTTCAAAGAATTCTTCAGGGAATAGTTTTGGTTTAAGGTTTAAAGGTTGAAGCTTATCTCAGGTCATTAGTTTTGGGAGCTCATCCTGCTTCATTGGCTCCAAAAAGTCTAAAGTCTGTGAGAATTTTAAATTCTGTTCCACATTATACCCCTTTTGATCAGAATTCTTCTATAGAATCTTTGATCAAAATGCTCAGTAATAGTAGCTGGGCACCATCCAGTACTTCTGGTCTCATGGCAAAGGATGCAGTTGTTAATGAAAGCAACCATTAAACCTTGACAAATGTTAATTCAACTGGAGAAGTGCTCTCTCTGATTCCCATTCTTTTGCTTGCTCTGCTTCAAACTGAAAGACAGAAGGAGTGAGAGAGGGCAGCCCAGGGAAGGGATGCTAAAACAAGTTGTGGGATGACTGAGAGTGTTAATGCCCAAAGTTCTTTCAATGTGTATTTCCTGCCTTATTCTCACATTGCCTCTTCTTGCCCAGTTAATCATTGTTTGATTGAAAATCAATTGACCGGTGTTGGCTCCTGACAAATTCTCCTGGCTAAACGAATAGTTGGGAGCATTTGAGTAGAAAGGCAGTATCTGGCCTCTGAAGGCTCTATACAGGAAATTCTCCCCAAAGTTGGCTGTCAGGTCAGCTGGCCTCAGCTGTCAGGCTCTCCTCTGCTGGACCTAATGACTATTACAAAGATTGCATTTCCTGCCCTGATATGAGTCAGAGCATTGCCATCACCAGGTCAAAGAAGCACCAAAGTGTCTGATGTATGCAGGGAGCTGTGAGAGGCAGGGGGCTCATGCAGGGGCCTGCCAAGAGGCAAAGCTGAGGGCTGGTGGGGTGGGTGCTGGAGAGTCAGTGGAGAAGGACTGGCAGACTTACCTGAAGAGACATGGCACGAGGCTGACTGGAGGCTTAAGAACAACTACCCGAGAGGCCCCTTGGAAGATCTGGTACTTAGCCATCTCACAAGACCACTGTGGGGGGACTGGGAGGGGTTCTTTTTATCCAGAGATGCCACTGCACCCTCTTGTGTCTTTTCAGCTTGGCTTTAGTACCCAAACTCACATGGACAAGCTCTGGGCTAGAGAAAATACTAGAACATTCTTGCAGATAGCACAGTTACCCCTTCCAGGACCTCTGCTCTTATGCCCATAAGCAATTTAAGTGAATCCAGTGAAGAGGGGGGAAATTGCTGAGTGCCTCAGCCACTTGGCAAAGCCTACCTGCTTGTGTCACTTGGAGGCAGCTTCTATGGAAATGAGCTGCACACAGCCCAGGTCAGCTCAGTGCGCACAAGGCCAGCAATTATAGTCAGAATTAAGTAGGAGTAATGGATCAGTACGTGTAGGATAATAATTATAATTATAAATAAGCATAGCATAGAATAATGATGACTCAGTGTGTGGACATTTGGTTTATCCTGGGATTACTCAAAAAAATGTGACTCAGTCTTAAGGATTCAGTAAGTCAGTATTTGGGGTAGTGCCTAAGGCATTTGACTGCTAACCAGAAGGCTGGCAATTCAAACCCACCAGCCACTCCTTGGAAGGAAGATTGGGCAATATACTTCCGTAGAGATACTGCCTCAGAAACTCAAGGAGGAGTCATTATGAGTCAAATCGACTCAATGGCATGATCTAAAATCATGAAAGGTGTGTGTCAGGGTTGTGTCCTTTCACTGTACTTATTCAATCTGTATGCTGAGCATATAATCTGAGAAGCTAGACTACATGAAGAAGCATCAGGATTAGAGGAAGAGGCTTTAACAACCTGCGATATGCAGACACATAATCTTGCTTGCTGGAAGTGAAGAAGCCTTGAAACATTTACTGATGAAGATCAAAGACTGTAGCCTTCAGTATAAATTACACTTCAACATAAAGAAAACAAACAAAACTCAAAATCATTTAGAGAAAAAAAAAAGGGGGGGAGAACCAGGTTTGCTGGTCCAATAGAACCTGGTGGAACCACTGAGACTATGGCCCCTAGCTGCCCTTCAGGTCTGGAATTGAACCCACACCCGTGGTTTCCAGTCAAACAAAAGACAGGCATATGAGTTGAACATTTACCTCAGGTAGATACACTCCTTGGAGAGAACAATCATGGGAGAAGGAAGGACTGCTTATGTACAGGAAGACAGCTCAGGGGGCAGGAGTGTATGGAGGGATGGACACTGGGAAGAGGTAACTATCAGGACGAAGTGGAAGGAGAGCTGTTGCATTGTGGTAAACTGTGCTCAATGACATGAGACAAAGTGCATGTGAACTGCTGTGTGGAAAGTGAATTTGCTCTGTAAATCTTCACCCACATCACACACACACAAGAAAAAAACATGAAGAAAAAAATCTTCACAACTGGACCATTAAGCAACCTCCTGATAAATGGAGAAAAGATTGAAGTTGTCAAGGATTTTATTTTACTTGAATCCACAATCAACACCCATGGAAGCAGCAGTTAAGAAATCAAACTACATATTGCATTGGGCAAATCTGCTGCAAAAGACCTCTTTAAAGTGTTTAAGAGCAAAGATGTCACTTTGAAGACTAAGGTTTACTTGACCCAAGCCATGGTATTTTCAGTAGCCTCATATGCATGTGAGAGCTGGAAAATGAATAAGGAAGACTGAAGAAGAATTAAAGGTTGTGAATTGTGTTGACAGAGAATATTGAATATTCCATGGACTACTAGAATAATGAACAAATCTGTCTTGGAGGAAGTACAACCAGAATGCTTCTTAGAAGTGAGAGTGGCCAGACTTTGTCTCTCATACTTTGGTCATACTTTGTTTTCAGAAAGGACCAGTCCCTAGAGAAGAATATTATGCTAGGTAAAGTAAAGGGTCAGTGAAAATGGGAAAGACCCTTAATGAAATGGATTGACACAACAGCTGTGACGATGGGCTCAAGCATAGCAGTGATTGTGAGGACAGCTCAGGACCAGTCAGTATTTCATCCTGTTGTGCTTAGAGTCACGTTGAGTCAACACCAGTTTGACAGCACCCAACAACAACAACAATTTTAGATTGAGAGGCCAGGTAACCCTCCCTAAGAAGGGGGCTTTGAGCAAATGCTTGAGGGAGATGAGTGGGTCACATATCTGAGGGGAAAGTGTTCCGGGCAGAGTTTGAGCCCAGTGTTCAAGGAATAGCAGAGGCCAGGGCAGTCAGGATAGAGAGGATGAGAGGTTAGAGAATTGGAGTTGAGATCAGAGAGGTAACAAGGCCAAATCAAGTTGGCTTTGTGCATTTTAAGGACTCTAGCTTTTACTCAGAGTGTGGTGGAGAGGATTTTAAGCAGAGAAGGACATAACCAGACACATCTTTGGAAAGGCTCATTCTGGTGGCTATGCTGAGAAGAAACTGCAAGAAGAAAGGGAGGTGGTGACAGAAGTGAAGGAGGTGGTAAAGCAGTGTTGGCTACTGGTTATTGATTAGGTTGACCCAGATCTTGTTTCCCTGAAAACCCATAACTTCAAGAAAGATGCAGACCTTCCCCTGCAGCAGTCTCCCAGTGAGGGAGGCCTCCTTGGGTTAGCAACATTAGGCCAAGATGCCTTCACTAAACTTGATAGAACCTGAGTCACCAAGGGGCCCAGCAGAGAGTTCCCTGCCCCAGCCCAGGGGAGGTAGGTGACTACCACCATTCTTGGTGTACAAAGACAAGAGTTATTGCTCACCCCTGGGGCAGCCCGGATTCTAAACCAGACCCATCAAACTCCAGAAGAAGGACCTCTCTGTCCCCAGTCACCTACCAGAGTCCCCAACTTTCCCTCTCACCTTCTTGAACCCTCCATAGTTCCCCATCCTACCAGGCACTCAGTGTTCTAACAGGGAGAAGATGATGGAAAAATCAGGCTGTGAGCACCAGTGCCTTGTCTTCAGGGTGGCATGGTCACACCTCCACTCACTGCAAGAATTGCCACTTAAGTGAGGCCTCAGGAGGGTCAGGGCAGGTTTATGTATGGAAGATACAGGACTGAAGGGGAAGCCACAGAGAAAGAGGCACAGTTGAAGGGCAGTTTATCAAGCTCTGAGTACATGCACTTTTTTACCTATTAGTTTATTCAGTGTTTTGACCACCATTCCATAAAAGATATTCTTCATTAATTAGTTAATCCATTAGCTTAGCAATTATTGATTGAGTGCCTTTGGTCAGGTACCAGGGATACACAGGTGAGCCAATGTGGACACAGTCTCTATCTTCATGGATCACAGAATCTAATGGGGAAACAAGCATTACTTTTTTTTTTAAGCCCAAACTAGAATATACTACCCTAAGGGTTGACCATTTGAATTCACCCAGTCAACAAATACAACAAATAAATGCATTTGTCATAAGGAGTTCTGGTGGCATAGTCCCTAAGGCATTTGACTGCTAACCAGAAGGTTGGTGGCCACCAGCCACTCCACAGAAGGAAGACTGGGCAATCTACTTCCTCAAAGATTTATTGCATTGGAAACACTATGACAGTCAGAATCAACTCTATGGCAGTGAGTTTTTTTTTTTTTTTTTTTGGTGGCAGGGGTTGGGGTGGGGGATGTGTGGGGGGTGGTG